ATTTCAAAAATACTAATTATCGGCTATTATGGCAGAATGATGAACAACAAAAAGACACAAATATTAGCTTGCAGGTTTCTGCAGTTTTTAATTCTTAGTGGTTCAGTGTGTTTCACTGGGGAATGTCAAAACCTTTTTTGTGCTGAAAGGCTTCAAGGATACATGTGGGAATAGTGGTCGCGCTGCTTTCAGTACCCTTCTGACAGTCTGACTCCTTTGTGACTCCAGCCAACTAATTTTCCTTTCTGCTTTTCTTTCTGCCCTGCTTCTCTCTCTCTCTCTTTCTCTCTCTCTCTCTCTAGGTTCTCTTACTCCTTGCCTGTACAAGTTTCCAGATCATGGTCTAAGTAGTGGTTCCTGTGCATTAAGCCATGGTTTCTCCTCACTGCCCTCGGCCTTCCTCTCAACTGATGAGGCCCCTGGGGGCCCCACAGTCGGTGAGATGAAAACTGACGCTCAAAGGAAGAGCATACGGGACCCAGAAGAGGCCCCTGCCATGGACTCCCCACAGATACGAGAGCTGGAGATGTTTGCCAATGACTTCAAAATACGGAGAATCAAACTTGGTGAGTATTATTACTAAAATGATCATTACAATAGCTGAAATTACCCCACTATCCAACTGCACCAACCTTGCCACGAATGTTTCTGTTGTCTGCACTCGGCCTGTTGCTTCTCTGCTTGCGTGTATTCCATGAAGTATTTCTATTTTTGTTTCATTTTGAATGCCAGGCTATACGCAGACCAATGTCGGTGAGGCTCTCGCTGCCGTGCACGGCTCAGAGTTCAGCCAGACCACGATCTGCCGCTTTGAAAACTTGCAGCTGAGCTTTAAGAACGCCTGCAAACTCAAGGCCATTCTGGCTAAATGGCTTGACGAAGCTGAGCTGGCTGGAGGTGAGTCCCACACATCCTCCACTCCATCAACCTCCATTTAGAGCATTTATTGAAATGTAATCTTTACCTGGATATACCATCTCACTAAGGTAAAACTTTATGTAAGTCGTAAATGCACTTTTGATTTATTTATTCCGATCTTCTAGAAATGACTGTGTTACAGCCATGCTTTCCTTCTTAACACTGGTTTGTGGGTTGTCTAGGACAGTGGTTCCCAGCCCTTTTGCCTTATGACCCCTTAAATTGATCAATATATACACATGAAAACCATTCTGGCCTCATCACATTTCACATTTAAGGAAAGATGGGAGAAAATTGTATGCATTTATTCTGTGACTACTTGGACTTGGAAAAACTATATTAGATCATTGTAATAGCTGAGGTATATATAGAGAGAGAGATGTGAGCACTTAACTTAGGTCATGGTATAGACAATTAGTGATTCAAATGGTAGCTACACTGTTTATTTGGCAGTTCAATCCAAAAGCATAAAGTAACAACATATTCATCTTCCTTCCTGCAGCCTTGTACAATGACAAAATAGGAATGAATGAGCGGAAGAGGAAAAGAAGAACAACTATCAGGTATCAACTTGAAGGAGTAAAGATTAAATGCATTCCATACAGTAATGTTTAGTTGCATAAAGTTTATATTCGTGTCTCTTTCCCTTTTTTCCCACTGCAGCCTGGGAGCTAAGGAGGCCCTCGAGCGCAGCTTTATAGAAAAAAGTAAGCCATCTTCCCAGGAAATAGCCCGGATAGCCAAAGGCCTCCATCTGGAGAAGGAGGTGGTCAGAGTCTGGTTCTGCAACAGACGCCAAAGAGAGAAACGGGTGAAAACCAGTCTCAACCTCAGCTCCTGTTTGACCAAAATCAGTCCAAACTGCATTGCTCAGATGAGTAAAACACAAAGACCAATGGCATAATTTTGTTGGAGGCTGCTTGTGAAAATGTATGTGTTTTGTTTTTAATATAAATTAAATGTCAGACTGAAATAATTTTTCACCATTAAGTGGGAGAATTTCACAGGATGCAGGAAAACCTAAAAATAATAAACACATGCCCTCACCCTGCATTAAGCAGCTGCTGACGCACCTATAACAAGTTAATTTAACATTCAGATGACAATTTATATCCTGTGATGGTCAGCCTGCCAAAAAAACAAAAACAAAAATCCTATAAAAACATGAATCATTGTCAGTTTGTTAATTGAATGTATTTCCAAATATATAAATGTCAAAGAGCAATGCAGCCAGTAATGTTTTCTTTCCTGAAGTTGAAACTGTGAAGATAAAAGGTTTTCATTTGCTGCTGGCTTGCTGGTTTGACGCTGCAGCTACCAGACATTCAAATGAAGTGAATCCAGGCTGCGTCTTGTTTGCTATGCACGCTGAAAGTGTATTAATCACGCAGACGCAAAATAATTTAATCCATCAGCACCAGAGTGCAGATGAGTTCTCATATAGATCAGACCTTGAATTTTATTGTTGATAAAATGTTCTACATGTGTATTTAACAAAAGGACTCTTTGTGTTATAGATGCATTCTTTGTGTATTTGTGATTAGAGCTTGTGTATGCTTGTGTGTCCTCTCATTAATTACCTTGTCTTGAAATGAAAAACGTTTGTTTTATTTAAGTTAAGATAGCCGTGGTCTGAACAGTAATATATTTAAAGTTTCGCAACAGCCTATTTATTTGAGATTTAATATATTATGTTGATCTACTTTGCTGAGTTGATTTATGGTTTGAAGTCAGGTATATGTGAAACTTTTTGACATTTTTGGCAACAAATGGATCTGAGGTCCATCGTTTCCTTGTTGTAAGATGGATTTAATTTTTCATATTTGTTGATGTTATGCTTTTGTTGTTGGTGCCTTGACAAAGTGTCACACGAAGAAGAACATCAGCCAGTCTGACCTGGTTGGGATGACTGATGTGAAATGTCTGAAGAGAAGAAACAAGCTAACAGACCACAACTTCCCTCTCAGACGTAAAAAGGGGAGAGAGAAAAATGATGTCACGTTAATGCAGTGCAGGGAATGATAGGTCATGTAAGAATGTATTGTAGACAGATAAAGTGCCTTTACTCAACTTGATTGAAAATATCCAGTAAATATGCCAAAGAGCTGGTTAGTACAAAAATGTGCACTTGTACTGATCGCAGGTCCTGACAGATAAATCAGTTGAATTCATTTATGACAATAAAGGAGAAGACTGTGTTCATACAGAGAAACATGTACCATTTCTCTTTTTGTTTTACTAATGTCGTTATCTTACCCTATGAATACATACATTAGGAGAGAGAGTCTGGTCATCTGTACCGCATGAACTGTACAGTTCATGGCTGCGTCACTGGGGATTCATAAATAAAGCTCTAAGACATCTTAATTCAGAAACAAGCCATTTCCACTGTGATTCATGTACAGCTGTCTAACTGGAGTGCTGTCAGGGGAAATAAATGCAGCACTGCCAACACATTTCTGAGGATGTACGGTGGAGAGTTATAGGCACGGTATGCAGAGTAGGATAAAACTACTAAGAAGCTTCTTAGTGCTGGTGTCATACATGTCAGTGGTGGAGGAAGTATTAAGTACTAATGCAGACTGTAAAAAATACTCTGTTCGAAGTAGAAGTCCTGCATTGAAAATGTTAATTAATTTAAGTATGTAAGTGTAATCAGGAAAATGTAATTAAAGTATTAAAAGTGCCCAATACAAAAATGTCCCTTGTGACTGTTGACTGGCATTACTTATGCACTAATTGTGAAGCTGGAAAATGTTAATGTTTTTTGCATGAAAACTGCAAATGATGAAATGATTATCAAAATAGCCAATTCATTTTCTGCCAATTGACTAATGGATAAATCGGTTAATTGTTTCCGCTGAACTTTTATATACTGTTATAGTTCAATTTATAACACATCATTATATTTTATGAGTACTTCATATGTTTTGTATGAAAAAATCTTAATTTGTAAAGTAACTAGAAACTAAAACAGACAATTGCAGTGGAGTAAAAAGTACAATATTTCCCTGCATAACACAAAAGTGAAAGTACCTAAAATTTGTACTTGAGTAAATGTACTTACTGCTTTTGGAGATTCACCCCTTAAAATTAAAAACCCCCTTGAACAAATGTCAATGACATCTAAATGCATAGTGCATGGTAGATGGTTCATGATTCAATATTACTAGAATAAGCAAATGCAGAATGCTTATCAGAGATACTTTGTGTTTTCTCCTATTTACTACAAATCACGTACACTTTATATCACAGCTAATGCTTTTGTAGTGACCAAGCTGGAGTAGTAGAGGAAGCAGTCATTGCAAATCCAGGTTAAACGTCCGTACAGCCTTAGTTGATCTGATGCTCGTTGTGATGGAACTTGAGTCATCTGCCATTCATATGGAAATTAACCATTGGCTACATGTGAATATCTAAAAGCAGCATGAGGTTAAAAATGGTCTGTAGAAATGTTAAGTATACATAATTTGTGTTTTAAACGCTTGTATGGTCCTTTACCAGGAAAAACATAATGGAGGCTCACCAAACTATACCTGAAGAAACTTTATTCCTTATAAAAGCCATAAACCTTTTACAGAGTCACTGTAATGACTAAAGAAAAGAAGAGGAGTATACATACACCTTTGTATAAAGTGTGGAAATCCTAACAATGGAACTGCATTCAAACAATGTCAAAATCTGTTAAAACATTGTTTCCGCTAACAATCACAACAGACTGTTAAAAGAGGAAAGAATGATTTACAAAAATCCCATGAAGTAAGTATTGAACATGTCAGATACATGCAAGAATGACAACATTTTCAATTTGTTTTGGCAATGGGAATCAATATGGGAACAAAAGGCCAGAGAGAGACAACAAAGACTCAGTATTATGTCTCTGTCACGCTCATGAAGCTGGCTGAATAAATCACTGTGTAGAAGAATCAACTTGAGAGCTCTGAATAAGAGAAAACGTCTCTTGGATCACAGTGGGTTTTTTTTAGCAAACATCACTACCATCACTTTGTTGCTGTAGTGTGTGTGTGTGTGTGTGTGTCTGTGAGTGAGGCAGCTTAAAAAAAAAAAACTAATTACAGTAACTGCACAGCAGCTGGAAGAGAAGAGGGACTGCAGGACCAGTGCTGTCCTACAATCACTGGAAATCCCATGTCCAATATACGATACACAATCAGATAGCAAACACCAACCAAGAATCCAAAGGAAAAAAACAAACTCATTTCATTACTCAGTAGCATCAACCAATTGATTCAAAACTCTTTGATATGCCCGTCTTTTCATTAGTCCTAATTTGTGTTTGATTGAGTTTTCTCACCTAATCTGTACAGCTTCAATGGCGCTAATTAAATGCCATCTCGCCATCTCATGCATTATTCTGAAGAAAAGTGAAGGCCTTACCCTAGCCCGAAGGCATCAATGTCAAGTTACATATTTCACATGCATATGTTTGTCTGAGTTATATCATCTCCAGTATCTATGGTAGCGTACCTAAGGATTATAAAAAAAATAACATGATAATTAGCTAGTTGACCACTCGCTTCATTTGTGTTTTCACAGTGAAATTTGTTTCTCTTTCACTCGTATGGTACAGTAACCCCTGGGATATTTTACCCACATGACAATGGAAAACATTTACTTAATAGTAGACAAACAGTTTGCCTCAGAGGAACTGAATCAGATGGGTGTTAAATGAACCAGTGGCAACAATGCCAGCAGAAAAATATGAGAGCAAGAAAAATAGAAGTTCCATCTGGTTACTGACAACCCCTAAGCTCCTTTTAATTATTATGTTTTACTCATTAAAAAACATCTATCTTCAGTTGCGTAAAAGCTGACAGACTATATATAGCTCAAGTTTTGCCAGAACATCAGATGGGAAAAAGAAAGTTCCAAGGTCACATTTACTGTAGCCCTTATTAAGACAGAGATGGGTGGTAAACAACAGTGTAGGTGGTTCAGAGCTCTTTAGGTCAAGAATCTATTACAGGTCCACCTTCAGGCTGCGGCCACTTCAGTGTCATAATAAATATTATTTTCGCATAAATAGATCAGATGTTCTGCCCTAATGACCTGCTGAACATGTGAATATGTATGTTAGTTTGATTTGACTGCCGGCGCGCCTTCAAATGTCTTAATGTATCTGTGTGTGGGTTTGTGTTTGTGTTTGTGTGCACCCTTTGTTACACCTGTAGCATTTGAACAATGTGTCTAAAAGAGTCTGTATCAATCAGTATTAATGTCGCAAAGGTTTATAATGCGAACATTAACACAAAGAAGACATTTAGTCCACTCCCAGAGCTCGGAGCTGTCTCTCGATCTCGTCGTCGGAGATGGTGGCTTGTTTGGAGGTGGATGCGCTAGGGAGACTCTTTCCTGCAGCTGGAGCTCTCACCATCTGGAAACACACATGGGGGAAGAAAAAATCCCATTAGCAAGTACACTCCACATTCAAACTTAACATGCCACGCGCACACACACACAACACACACACAGCACACACACACACACACAACACACAACACACACACACACACACAATCACAAAGCTTGGTACTTGTTGTAAGATTGGCTGCCATGTACAGCTGCCTACTGCCATTCCAAAGCCAAATGTTGAAATATGCCAGCTCAGACCAGTTCAAATTTAATCACAATGAATTATTATTTATTGTATTGGAACTTGAACTCTCTTTAAATTAAAGCTTTAATGACAGTGGCCATCAGTATCACAAGCACTATTTTTGTACACAGCATTAATCGTTCTTCATTTGTAAGAAGAAAAAAAAAAACACAGTAAAGTTGTAAGAAATCACTTTTACACTTTCTTTAATTTCTCCTTTAGTATTGTTTTCCAGGTTTGTTGCATAAACTTTCTTACGACTGTTTAACTGGTATTATACAACAATCTGGCACTCACTACCAAAAGGCATAATTAAATTATGTGCAACTATTATTAAATGACCTTTAAATTTGCTGAAAAGCTGCATTTGTTATTTTCCATTATACATGGAATAATAATTCCTCTGAATAGGTCAATAACACATAGGACTGCTTATTAAACTTTAGTTTCTCCCAAACTAACACAGTTTATGAGTCGTCTAACTTCCTTCCAGCTTAAGGGTTGATAGAGAAAGCTTTTATTGTTTTGCTTTTCTCAAAGTGCATTATACGAGAGCATTCAGATAATTGTCTGCTCGGTCTCTTATTGTGATTGAGCAGGAAATAATTACCCCCATCTTCCAAATTCATTTTTGCAGGTTTTTATTAAACTTCCCTGTTTGTTCTCTCCAGCTGTGGGCTTGTTTATTGGACCATTTGTGGGTTTGTACATTGTGTAATGAGGAGTAATAACTCATGAAGCCCCCCAGGGGGAGCCAGACACACAGCAGATGGACAGCCTGGCAGTTACACAGACTATAGTACACATAGAAGAGCTGAGGGCTAGCCCCACCATGTGGCAGCTGGAATACATTTTAACAGTCAAGTAAAAGCCTTGTGGAACACTTATTGTTCAGTTCATGTTGCTAGGGGATGTTCACGCCATTAAGACTAGTTACATGTGTAAAATGTGCAGTAAAATGTTAGGTTTTAACCAAAAAATGCTGCTTGTTTCTAAATGTTTTTGTTTACCCGAATAGTTTAAAACACTTAAATAAAAAAAACAAGACATTGGCATCCCTCATGGGCTGGAAGTGCTTTCCACCAGCTGGTAAAATAAAGGTATGTAGGATACAAGGTCAGTGGTAGTTTCACTCTTAATTTCTTACCTTTCCTGAGATCTCGATGCCGATCTCATCCAGAACCTGGTTGACAATGTCCTGAGATTCCTCTTCATCCCCAGACTCATCGAAGATGTCATCCAAAGTGTCATTGACTAAACAGAAAATGAGACAGGGACGAGATAAGGACAGACCGATCAATTAAGTACAAGCCAAAAGTATTGCTTTTCACTGACAGTCTGGACTTTAGAATGAGATAGCTAAACATTTTGCATCCAAACTAGTAAACTAATGTTTGTGTGTGGATGCTTGTGTGTTGGCATTTGCACTTTTATAAAAAAATTAATTAGAAAATGAAAAGGCCTCTCTATATACAGTACATGTCACTATTACACTTTCTATTATCTCATCAAAACACAGGTTGCAATGCACGTCACTCCTTACGCCATTCACATATATATCCTGACAATCTGGTTTAGGCAAGTCTCTAAATACCAGAGCTTTTTGTGTGTGCGCATGTGTGTACTGTGTGTCCTTACTCATGTCCTCAGTCATGCCCATCTTCATGTTCTCTTTCTGGAAGTCCTGCATTGTCTTCAGGGTCTTCTGTGGGTCCATCTTTTTATTCACTGCTTGCATTGTCTGCGAACATTATTGAGAGAAGGTTAGATAATTAAATTGGGATGTTTTAAGCTTGGTACAGAGCAGAAGCAACATACTTTAAGAGCTGTTCTTGAGCAAAGAAACAAAATGCCACACTTAATTGCTGGAATTTTCTATTTCATTTCTTACATGGCCTTCTTTTTCATCACAAGAGGGTGGTAAAATCTGTGCAAATAAAGTCTGATTGGCACTGTCATCATAATATTCCCATAAAAAATACTCTAGGTAAATTACCTTTCATATTACAGACGAGGCACTTGCCCAAGGAGCAAGTTCCAGATGATTCCTACACTTATTACAAATCAGAGTGTGTCCCAAGGAAATTGGTTGAAATAGGTTTAGAGGACTAGCATTCATTAACGCGTAGGATGATAGAAATAAGAGGAAAAAAACAGACACTAACTAAATTATGCATCTCCTTCCTTCCTGTGAAAGATCAGCACAAACGTGGCTTACTTTCACAGCTGAGCCCGACACAACAGATCGGATATATCCTCGTCTCCACTTCACTGTCGTTGACATGCCGCTCCAACCCATGCTAACCCATAGCTCCCAGTATCACGGGAGGAAAGTGCTGCACTATTCATTGAATAAACTAAACAGAAGCTGAAACTTTTTTCTAGGAAAATCTCTGAGTGTGTGTGCACATGTGCGTAAACAAACTTTGTGTACGTCTGACATAAAACAATTAACACATTCTCTCTTAAAACAGCCACACACCCACCTCATCACACTCCATTAATCCGAAGCCTAATTATATTTGACCTGTCTGTGTTTGCTAAGTCTGACTGTGTACAGTACATCGCTCCTGGCCAATTACTACCTCTCACACTTCATTACCACCGCCGCCGCCACGAGACTTGGCTTTAAACATGAACAGATCCCACATTAATACTTTAATTACAACACTAAAATATTGATACGAGCAAACACTGAAACTAGTTCATATGCAAAATAGAAACACACCTAACTTTTCACGGTGAGTTGAATACAGTGGATATCACATGTATAAAAGGGCTTTTTAAGCATTAATCGAGGTGTGACCTTGTGCATTAAAGGAGTTCTAGCTGTCCACATTCAGCATATAAAACAAATACAAAAAATATGAATATAAAGTGGTATAAACAATAAAACCCAAGAAACAAAACCTGCAAGTGTAGCTTGGGTTAACACATGTATATGTTAATAATCAATTGACTGTTCTGTTGTAACAACGCAACCCTTAGTGCCCATAAACCAGAGTAAACTTGCCAACTGAACATGAATCTTATATTTTAAAATCTGACCTCAGACCAGTTGAACTGATGGACAGGATCCAGGATCTTACCTTGGCTGTGGTGGACATGGCACCAGCCATCTTCATTTGGGAGTTCATCATCTTTGTCTGTGTGGACATGGAGGTGACTTTGGAGCTGACGGCGTATGTGCGGTTCTTCTGCTTCCTCAGCTGGACTAACTGCTTGGCGAGGATCTTGCACGCCTCCTTGTTTCCGCTCTTGGCCATTTTCTTGATTTCTGCCTCCTGGAGAGTGAAGAGGGGAATTTGGGGAATAAGCACTTGACACTAACAAGGCAAACTTTTAGCATACTAATAGTGTGTACATTTCAGTATGGTAAGGTTTAGGGTGGTCCGTATTACAGATTAGCTTTAGCGGAACAGCTACCTTACTCAAAGTAATGTTTTGTGAACTTAATAGTGTCAGTAAGCAGCAATGTGACATGCTTAATCATGTCAAAAGTCACATTAATGTCTTGGAAAATCCAGATGGAATAATCAGCAGTTTTGTCAACTGCAAGGAAATCCCACCGAAGGCCAGAGTTGGTGCCATGGGCCGTTCTGGATGTGCAATCCACACGGGCGGCAAAAAGAAACATTTTAGATGTCAATCACTCGCTTTCATGACATTTTCCTCTTCTCAAGCGACATCCCATGACTCCTATAAATCCACAGGGCTTTTGTAAATTGCTTATCTCTGATCTTTTGATCTGTGTAGTGCAGTCACAATTTTCCTTATTGTACCATATAAACACATTATACATAAACACACACACACATAAGTACTTGTGCATGCACATCCTATGTATTGATAAACAAACAGAAACGTATCCACAAAGCTCCCAAAAGACCAATGTGTTTGCAAATATAGACATAGTAAATAAAGTCATCTGGGTCAGGTCTCACACACTGGCAAGCAAATAGGTGCTTTTAGCTTTGGTAAACATCAGAACACACACGGATGCCCACAGGGATCCTGTGTGTGGGCATGAGTGTGTGTGAGCATCCCAAGAGACGAGAGTGGAAGCCGCAGGTTACGGCGAGCTAGCCAGGCCTGTCAGCGCTGCTCCGTACCACAGCCCCAGCGTGTGTTGTTTATTTCTTGTGTGCGAGCTAAAAAGCCCTTTCAGGAAACAAGAATCAATTATTAATGTTTGATGAAGCAGTAGACAGTCTCCACTCAGCTCAGTGTCTGTTTCCCTCTCTCTCTGCCTCACATACACACATACTCAAGCACACACAGAACAGGTGCATTAGGTTCAGTCTGCGAGCAGAAAGAAAAACCGAATTAATACCATTGTTGGGGAAAAAAACTGTAGAGCTCTGAGAAAAAAGGCACACATTGACAATAATAACCTCTACTGCACTGTCATCTGAAAAACTAGGAATGCTTTAACAGGGGAAAGACAAATACGAGAGCAGTGGGACTGCTGCTGATATGAAGCTTATAATATCTTATTTACTGCCTGTCAGACGGGGAGGAAGGGGGTGAAGGGGGTGTGATGGATAGAGAGTGCTCTCTTAAACATGAAAGAATGTGAGGCTGCTTGACTTCGCCCCGTAGGAAGTGGGAATATTTCCGTGTAAACAAATGCCAGAGATTTTTTCTGAACAACAGATGGACAACGTGTTGCAACGGTAACTTCAATCCACAGATGCTGCTACAAACATTTGTGGGGGTTTTTCAATGTATTTTTGTTTCAGGAAGCCAAATTTAATACTATTTAATATGTTTTTATGCTTCGTCACAAATTGACCTGAAACAATTTGTTAAAATTAGTTTAACAACAAAAGGGAAAAACAAAGAGGATCAACTGTGATTTCACATAATTGTGGAAAGGCATGTTTTAACTGACTCTAAGGTTTTAATATAATACTTATTCTTTAAACTTGTCAAGGACTTATGGACTCGGGTGCATGGTGGGGGTCATGATTGTACTAAACTGTAAATATAGGTCATTTCCATTTCTTAGCGGAAGTATCTTTTATTCAGAACATGAAACAAAGCTTTTAAACAACTAGACTAATTAGCGGAAAGGCTGTAATGGAGAATAAAAATCTGGGTTCCCCGGGGAGGCAATTATGCTCTGGGTATGATATTTACTTAATCAAGCAGAGGGGAGACGGACACGGTCCGTCTTCTTCATCTTTCAGAGGAGGGGGGGTGTTATGTGTGTCTGCTGGAATATTGCCTATCTTGTAAACTCTGTGTGTGTGTGTGTGTGAGGAAGAGAGAAGACTCACTTGCCTGAAGCAAAGCCACCCCACCAAATCGTTCTTGTCTATTCATTTACACCCATTAGCCAATCAGGGTCAATCCCAGATAGTAGGCAAGGGTGGATCTAATGTGCAACTCTAGCTCTGTGTGTGTGGTGGGAGAGCAGGGGGGGGGTCTTAATAAAGCCTTGATGCAATATGTGGAAATCTATATGTGAAATGCTTTGTGTAGAGATACTTTGGTTCTGCAGACTTTTAGTGTGGTTGTAGTGTGTGGTGTGTCGTTGTGTGGTTGTGTGGGGTGTGTGTGTGTGTGCGTGGTCCTACCATTTGTTTCTCTTGTTTCTCCAGCGCTGCTCTGTCTCTGGTGATCTGTCTCTGGGTGCCACGCAGCTCCTTAGACTGCTCCTTGATTATGTCTTTTGAGAGAGACAGAAAGGAAGAAAGGTCTCTGAGTTTATGCGATTACGTGTATGACATTTTACTTTAGCGGTTTAAAACAAATTCTCAAATATATCAATTGTATTTCGACAGGAACGTCGCACTTAAACATGTTGGCTTGGTCAAGACCGTAAGATAGTGACGGTAAGATAACTCCAGTCTCAAAATCTGGTATGACTCGCATCGCCTACATAATGAGAAGTTGACAGCTGAACAGAAAGCTCATAGCTATAAAAAGGCCAGCAGCGAGAATGTGGAGTACAATCTTTTATCTGCTGGGTGGTTTTAAGTACGGACCGCCGTCTGCCCTTTCTTTCTTTTTTATTCTCAGTGCAGTTCAGGTGAAGTGGTAAAAAAAAAAAAAACAGACTGAAAAATCAGTAAAGTTGATTTGCAATTTGGACATCACCGAGTCTCTTGCGCAGTGCAGTTAGAAAAGGGTAGGGCCGAGGTCAGCTGGCTTTGGAAAGAAATCTCAAACATTTTCACGGGCTTAATGGTGAGCATGTGTGAGTGTGAGCCCACATGCGCGAGAAATACCGCAGAGCAACAAGCAGCGCTCGTATGCTGACAATGCCAACTGTGGAAGTGCTTGGACAGCTCACACCGATATTGAGTCAGCCTTAAACCGCCCACACACACACACACAAACACAAAGTGGTATCATGTGAGATAATGTATGACCCTGAAGTCACACATTCATCCACGACTTCTGAGTGAGGGACAGCTAAAGCAATCAGTGTCACACACACAGGCACTTCCTCAGAACGCTCTATTGTACTCTACTATCTGAAATCAGACGCTTTATTACTTAAATCAGATTAAGTGCAATATACAGCACAACACACACAACATATTTTATATTATATAAGGCAATTTAAAATGAATATTTAAGTTTTAAATAAAATTTGGTTCAGGATAAATAGAATAATCATGTCAATTTTATCCATATAGTCCAAAATCAATAATTACACATTCGCAGATAAATTCAATTCAATTTTATTTTGTAGGAGCCGCCAATTTCATAAGCAGAAGCTATTTCTCAGGACACTTTTCAACAATAGAAGCACGGTCTAGGACCGAACTCCTTTTAACATTTACAGAGACCCAACAGTACCAAAAAGTCCCCCAGAAAAACCTTTAACAGGGGTAATAAAGAGAAAAACCTCAGCAAGACCAGCAGAAGAGGGATCCCTCTTTAAGGACAGACAGACGGCAATGGATGAGTATGGAAACACAACACCTAAAAGGTTCTCTGGGAAGACATGCAGACGTTATATTGGTAAAAGAGATAACGAAGACCATAACACTACATTTCTAAACTGATTCAGCTCTACATTCATAAGTTGCTACAGGATATAACAGGAAATATCCCTTTTTTGGCCAGAAATGTGCTCATTATAATGAAAACTTCAGCTATCATGAAGTTGGTCAAGACACGTCATTGCGTCGGACCACTTGTAGGTACGACGCATGTAAACGTAGAAGGTGACGTGGCACCAACGTCTCAAAGTGGGAGGGATATCGTCCTACAAATACGTGTGATCTAACCCCCCCCCACAAACCCTTCTTCCATTCGCCAAATAACCAGAAACTACTTCAACCACCTCTCCCCAGGGCAGCATCCGCAAAAAAACAAATGCATCCAGAGAGCAAAAGATGAGAGAAATTAAGAACACGAGGTGGAAACTGCGAGATGTGAAAGCGGAGAGGACCGGACAATGGCTGAGCATGGAGAGGAGGTAACACAGCACAGTAAGTACAGTATGCAGATGATCTGTGTGGCTGAAACCGGAATGACAATGTTGGGAGGAGCGGGTAGGCGGTGCTGTGGAAAGATTTTCCTTTACCAGCAGAGCCTATTTTTAAATCTGCAGATAATAATACACTTTGATATTTTTTTTTTTAAGAAATCCTCCACACACACATAAGTTTTGTGTCCAGAAGAGTTTAATCCCTCACTTTGGAAATCCAGCCCTTGGAGACGATATAATCAGTATTTGAAATGGAATAATTGATCCATTAATTTGATGAAAGAGAGGCTGGTTTTCCCATTTTGACCTTGTGAGGCTGATTACCTAGCCTGGAGAGAAATAGTGAAATATTTAGATTGAAGGGCTTTTCAGATTTTTTTGACATCACTGTATATTACGGACCAAAATTACCATATCCAACTCCAAAGACAGCTTGACATAATGTTGTATTTTAACAGCCTTTCCTTTACACTACAGAATATGATCCCACTGTTGAAGATCAAATTTTAGTTATTTTACTATAAAGAAACCTGTTATTTTAGAATCCATTTAGGCCCATTAAACATGTAAATGTACAGTAATGTAGCTTTTAATTAACTTAATGTCTTCTTGAGAAAGTAAATGAGAGAGTAGGAAGGAGGTAGCGTTTGGAATAATCCGATTAAATTAAATAAAAACAACGATAAAACTTCAAACAAATATACTATTTATTTTACATGACATATTCGACGTTTACATACATTTTATGACAATATGGGTTTATGTTTCCGGTTCCTGTTCAGTCATTGTAAATTATTTAAACTTAGCTCTAGTGAAACAGCACAAACACCATCTTCCTACCTAAAGTAACCACTAACCACATATTGTCGTACTTAATATATGTTACATGAAAATAGCTCGTTCACTTAACGCCAATAAGCTTAATATGTTGAGTTTTTGGCAGCGCTTCGAGGCTGCTTTTAGACTTCAGTCAGCAGTGTGACCGGTGACTCAACTAGAGCCAGAACAGGTTAAACAAGAGGTGATAGTCGATGTTATAAGACGGAAAACAACACAGCAGTCTGTTACACCCGGGCTAAAAACAAGTTAGCTATAGCTTTTCGCACAGCGCAAACTCACCATCGACAGTCTTCTTCTTGAAAAGGGAAGCCATGTCGCTGCTTTGTGTCAACCCCGAACACCCAATATAAAATCCCGTACTGGTTTACTGAGTGATTCCCGTTGTTAATGCCGCCGTTTTGGCCGTCTCGCCGGGGCGGTGGGTCAGTTTAGCAGCTTCGGTTTCCTGGTTGACTTTCTGTTCCTCCCTCAGCTGACTGACTCAACGACTCCGCGTGACGTCACGGCGGGACTCTCATGCTGCCTTCAGCGCGCCTCGTAAAATGCCCCTGTCGCGAGCCGAAAAGTGCGCTTCGCCCCGTCGAGAAGTGTCAATGCGGTGAATACGGTGAATACGGTGGACCCACGCGTCTATTATTTCTGACCAGAGATGAATTGGATGCCGACGTGTGTTTGTTTGGATCCAAAGATCTATGCATAGTGGTGGAACTGGAAAAACCAGACAGGTTTGCCCCCTGCTGTCATTAATATTGTATTAATGAAAAGTGGCCACTGCATTGAAAAAATAATCTAATTAATCTAATGAATTGAGACAAATATTGAGGCACTTAAATACCAGCCCTGTTTACCACTCTTTTGGTTTGTTCATTTGGTCTATTGAACATGGATTTGCCATATTCCGTGCGGTAAGTGAAGGCAGCATAAATGCAGAGGAATTGACTAAATGTTCATTGGCAACAAAGACATCTCTTAGCTAAATGATAAGGCTAAGCAGGCAAATGAAGTAATGACATGTGTGGCCTGTCTATCATTTCATTCCAGTTTTTTTTTCCTTACAGATTTTACTTTAAGTGCATATTTAATCCAACTGATGTCTTAATTGGGTCTCCCTCTCCTCCTCTCAGTCTTTCAAGTGAGATTTTACATAGAGTGTATGTGAGCAGTCTATGTATCTGGTGCCTGTTATCAGTATATACACTGGCCATAGCACATAAACATGTAAAATATTGTAAGGAAACAATCCACAGAGGAAGTTTCTGTCCCCCATTGCTTCTCGCAGCATCATAAATTCTGTTATTCTCAATTTCCTCCCTCCTCTCTTTATCCCAAGAGGCAAGGGTTTTTATGCACTCCGGTGTGTATTCATATATTGTCTTATTTCATATTGATGCTGAGAGCAACTTTATGTGAGGTGGTGGAACTCTTGAACCATAACCAACTCATTTTGGTGCATATGTGTGTCTGCGCTGGAACTGGCAGTGGGAGGTAGCACATAAGAAGCAAGGCTGGGGGGGCTCTTAGCCCCCAAATTGTGAGAGATGCCAAGTTATGGCTGCAGCAGAGGAGAGAGGGGTGACATTGAGGAGAAGGAAAGGAGGATGGGTAGCCCTTAGCTCTTTTCTCTATCTCCAAGGATGTGCATGTGTGTGCACTCACTTGCCTGTGTGCATGAGCATGTCGTCCTGAGGCGTTGTTCTTGTTAAGGTTATTAGGGAAGATGTTTGGCGCTAATCAGTGGAGGACTACGGGGACCCCCACTAAACGGCCTCATCATCAGAGGGCCCCAGTGGTGATAAATCCAGCCCCAAGCACCCAGATGGCCTGCAGGTACTGTGCCTGTATCTGACTTTCGAGTAGGAGCATGTAAATCAATACTTGATGATCACATTTTTTGCCCTTGTTTTGCCTGTGATGGATATTTTGGAGCTTGATTACATATGCATAGTAGAACTGATCAATATTACACAATGTGATGGATTTAACCTGAGTTTATTCTAATTAGACACTTTCATAGATATACCTATTTTTTTTTATTAGGTTAGATCTTTCAGTATTAATGTGACAAAGGCTTCTCCAAACTGAATACAAAGGGGAAAAATGGAAGTGTGTTTGTAAGTGCAACCAAGCAAACAGATTAAAATAAAACTAAACAACAAAAAAATAAAATGTGAAGAAATTCTTCTCTTCTCTGTTACTTTTTTGTTGTCTTTGGCATCACTTTCTCCCCTTTTTTCTCCACTTTCTTAAACTATCTATCTCTCCTGCTCTCCTCCTCCTCCTCCTCCTCCTCTCTGTGATCTAGCCCGGGGCAAGCAGACATGTAATGTTAAGGCACTAAATACAGAGTGCATGGACACACACACACACACAGACACACAGCAGAGACGTTCATGTGTGAAATGAGATCTCTGCACAATCAGTGGGAGTCGCAGCCATAAAGCACATCGAGCTTTTCAGCTTTAAGGTATCATCGAACAAATCGCACAAATTCTTTCATCTGATGACTGTAGAGTTATTCTTGTAACAACTGTGTTTTTTCCCCTCTTCACAGATAAAGCCATTCATGGACGTCCAATGATGAAACTAAGAGTTGCGTTTAGCAGTGAGGGGTCCTTTTATGTTATTTGTTTGGGGAGGTTGAATTATAGTGACTAATATTTTACACCTAATAACATTTTGGCCACTTTAATGTGTTAAGACACATTAACACAAGAAGTTTTCTACTTTATTTCAGCTGGAAAAATTGTAGGATCAGATTAAACAACTTCATATCCATCACATGATGAACAATCATGACTCCATGATGTATCACTCTTACATTTATAGACCAATATCTGCCCCATACATCAGCAAAACCACAGATTCCAATATTTTTTATTTTTTATTTTATTATTTCATTTGCAGTAGAATTTCAACAAGGCTCCCTTAGGCCTCCTCAGGATGTAAATCTCATTCCCCATATTCATCAAGTGTGAATCCTGAATCATAATAGCATATAAGATATGACTGTACGCTGCATTCTTCCCTCAGCCTTTGACATGTAAGTAGGCTGAAATATGTTTGTATGCAAACACAGAGAGAGACAAGGGGCTGTGATGGGAGGCACGGGATTTCAACAGTACTTCTTCTCTCTGATGGATGGCTACTTCACTGCTACCCAGATGGAGAGAGATAGATAGAAGGAGGTAGGGAAGGCTACAAGGAGCACCAGGGGGATTAAAGGAAGAGAAGAATAGAGGGCAAATTCAGAGAGAGGAAGAGAGGAAGGAATCAATGGAGCAATCAAAGAGCAGAGCAGGGACTGGGGAGAAGTTACAGTTTACAGGGTGGTCAAACAGTCTGGAATCGCTAAGCATTGATCTTAAACACATACTTTAGACTCTGCCACAGTGCGCTTACACAGATTATACAGATGCTTATACAGACTGTTTATTGTCCCAGTATTAAAGGACTAGTTTGCCTTTTTGTGAAATATGCTTATTCACTTTAAAATTAGATGAGAAGACCGATAAAGCTCTGAAATCTCTCCGAATTATGAAGCTACAGTCAGGAGATGATTATTTTAGCTTAGTTTAAAATAATGTATTTTACTACTTTTCTAATCTGCAAAAAAAACAATTTGTAAAAATGACAAGTTTTTGTTATTCAGGGTTCTTGGCCACTTGGCCAGACAGTAAGTCTGATTGCCTAGCAACCTCAGAGTGATGACAAGACTCAAGGAGGTCACTGTGTCTGCCAAAGAAATAATACACATAACATAACCGCCATAATACACAAATTGTAGCTTCTCTGGCTTTTGTGTGGATTAAGAGTCAGCCTAGCTTTCCCCCCATTTCTATTCTTTATGCTGAGTTAAGATAACGTGCTGCTGGCTGTGGATTGTTATTGATTGATTTCTCAATAAAAGTCACATGACTTTATCCATTGTGGCCCTGAGGTCTAGGCTGGGAGGCAGACAGGAAAACATAATAACACATATATGCTACCAATATCCTTTTTAAATTATTTTAATACACCTAATAAAACATCAAAATGCTACATAAATACACAAAATAAAAAACTACACCAAGTCTGACACCAGTGCTAAAAAGATGGTTCATTGCTTACTCAGCATCCATTTCAGTCAAAGCTTCAGACATGAGAGTGGCATTGATCTTCTCACTGAACTCAGTAAAAAGGCAAAGAAGCATATTTCCCAACATTTTGAACTATTCCTTTAAAATAAAGAAATTCTAATCTAGTTAGTTAGCAATAGTACAGCTGCGATGACCAGTACCACACTGTATCTATGTAAAACTTTTGAGAGGAATTATTCCTAACATGAAATTTTGATCAGTTGCCAAACAGAGTATGTAAATGATTTAGGACATATGGAAGACAGCAGGTGGCTGAGAGAGCGGGAAGAGACGGAGGGATGGTAGGAAGCAGGAAGCTACGGTGATAGCAGCGGGAGAGGCAGGGGGCAGGGAGTTTGGGATGGTCTAATAAATCGAGTGAGTGACTCCACTCGTTTCTGCCCGTGGGACGAATCTAGTCGCGCTCACCGGCGCAGTGCAACATCAGGGAATTCTGGGTAATGAGAGATTATTCTCCCCTGTAGTGTTTGCTCATCATCATTGCCTCTCGCAACCTCCCCTGCCTCCCACGAAGCCCCCCCCCCAACACAAGGCAGATTTAGCATTTAGAAGCAGGTGTGGAGTTATATATATGAACACGTGCAGACACATACACAGACAGTGGCACACCCATCTTACAGACATGGTTTTTTGAGTAAGGTCAAACAGCGAAGTGTTATTGTTTAAATCTGCTGCTGGCGTCAATTTTGGATGTCACACTCAGTGAGGCACACACACACACACACACACACACACACCCACTGTTCAATGACACCCTCTTTTATCCACAGGTCCTTTTTGCCCGAGGAGGCCAATCTGTCTGAGGGTAGATCCTACATGCATCAAACCAGAACCCTCCTTTGCCCTTTCTCCGTCTTTTTTTCTCTCTTCTGTCTCTCCAGCCCATGGTCCTCCTTCGCCCTGGAGCCAGGCTGTGACCACAAGAAGTAGGCTGGTGGTCCCAGCAGGGGCCGAGCCTCAGACATACCATTAGCATGAGGGAATTAGAGTCATTACAACTGGAAGGGCAACGGAGGACGAGTCCTTCGTTCCACAGAGGAGGATAGAGGTTTGGGAAGTTGTGTGAGGAAGGAAACAAAGTGGGAAGCTTTATTAATCAGATAGTTGGGAGAACATGTATACAAATTAGACATGGATGTATTTGTAACAAGAACAAATATTTATACTTTTTTAGATGTTGTAGGTGGTCCCGATTCTGAATTCCATATTCTGAAAAGACAGAATAATGTGTTTTAAATGAACATATTTTACTAATGACAGCTGGACAGGTGGGTAAAGTGAGTTTGTTAATTAAGACTCATCAAGCTGAAAGAGCAGAGAATCACCTTGAGCTTACAGGTTTATACACCAA